TACCCGCTCTTCTGAAGATCCATTTGTGCAACTTGTGGCCAAAGTTAGTCTTCCACTGCTGTGTGGAAAACTACTGGAATGATGTTCCGAGACCGGCAAAGTAAACATCTCTAAAGATGTTAGCGAGCTGGCGGCAACTTACTGGTATAATTGTAGGGCCTTGAGACTTGTCTTCACTGTCGTTTGCACAAATGGCTTTTTTTATAAAGATTCCATGTAGATTTTTTTTTTTCTTTTAATGTGTATAGTGCATTAGGTTTCCTTGATGAGTCTCTCTACTAAATTGCTGGAAAAAAATGTGGTAGCACTTCATCTAAAAGGAACAAAACTTTTTATAGGAAGTTGAATTCACAGGGAGGAGGTAGCAAGAGGAAGAACTGGATATGCAAGGGAGCAGAACATTTCATGACACAGTCCAGATTTAAAAGCTTAATTATGAGTTTAAGAGTTCAGCTTGTTATATGAATGCACTGTATCACTCAGTGCAATACTACCACTTTCTGCTAACCTTAGAACAATACTGCCCCTTAAGAGGAGAACCCCAAAATAATATGCCCAAATCTAGTGGAAGAGGAGGGTGGGGAGGAGTCAGACGCAGTTGTAATCACTTTCACAGACACCTTTAAACCTAAGGAATTCAACCTAAGTGTTAGGAAATGGCTTAATCCCTCTGGTGACTTTCCTCAACCTGCTTATGAGTAAAGAACAAATGATTAGGAAAGGACAAACTGAACTGCTCAAACCAGGACTAGCAACTAGCTTGTTACAGCTAATAGATAAACCACAAACAGGAGACAGTGTCATTACAAAACAGCCCGAAATATTTTTCTACCTATGTTTGTACATTTAGTCCCTATTTTGCTGCTTCTTTTCAGCTCGTGCTTTTTGAGCAGATTTTGGAGACTGTCTCTGAGAAAGCCACTTATCTTTCCAAGCCAAAAGTTACTAGAGAAGGAGTGAGCACCTGTATTTTGAGACACATGTCTGACAAAGAGTTGAAAGCATACCAGAAGATGGAAAACCAGAAAAACAGTACAGTAAGGAAAGATGAAAATGAAGAGCTGAAGCCAAGTGAGTTGCATCAGTGACTTTATGAAGACGTGTAAACAGTATTAATCTCTTATTAAAAAAAAAAAAAAAGAATATAAACTTAATAAAGTTATTGTTGAGCTTTACAGTGCTCATTCCATGAAGAAAGTTGTCTCAGTTAACCTTTACTGCAAAGTCAGAATTTCAACAGTTGGTATTTCATTTTCCATGGGCTTATCCATTGCCTTGCTTTCTGTCACAACCACATCCTTTCCTGGCTGTGTTTTAGGAGGAATGTAGCCGCTCAGACGAGAGGCTAAGCTCCTCTTAGGACGAGAACGCTTTGCCTGGCAGAAATAAATCCAGAATTAGCAATTTAACGTATCTGTGGAGCAAAGACTGCTACAGGGGGGTGGGGGTGGGGCGGGGAGGAAGAAGAAATTAATTACTAGGCCAGCACTGCTTTATTTAAAGGACCTTCAGAAATTAAGACTCTCCCAAATGAAGTAGATAGCTGGCCTGTTTTCCTGCTCGAAGTCACATTCTAAAACACATCATATTTACCCTCCTCTAAAGTGACAGGGTATGGTTTAGAGGACTTTTTCAAAAGCGTAACTTACTTTCAAGTTCAGCTTTCTCTTTTCAGGATCATGTACAACTGTGTGCCTTGCTAGGCTCTGCTACAGTTACAAAGAGCAGGGGGGAAAAAAAAGTATTAGGTTTATCATTTCAGATTATGTGATTCAAATTAGGACAGTGTAAAAATACATACCTTCATTGCAAACACTCTTCCACAGCCTGGGTAATCACAAGAGAATGGTTTTTTCTCCTCATGGAAAGAGAGGATATGACTTTGAAGGTTAAATACAGTTGTATAAGTTCTCCCACATCCTTCTCTCGGGCATCGGCAGACTTCCCTCTCCACAGCATGCGTTTTTTGATGCTGCTTGAGGTAATCTTTCCGTTTAAAAGTTTTGTAACACTCATTGCAAACTATTGGCTCTGAGTGGGAGAGAGACAGGAAGAGTATAAATTAACAGCTTCTTACAAGGAGCTCAGAATCAAACCCTGGTAGTCCTCTAGAACAATGCTAAAATCCACATGAAATGCAAGGAACTCAGAGACTGGAAGAGAATAATGCAGTATGAATTATCCAGATCCAAAATCCTACATTATACAGTTTCTCATTAACTGGATCACAAAGCAAAGTTAGTATACTGAGCAGCATTTTCATCAGTTAAAGGTCCGGCCAGAGCGACAACCATTTTACCAATAAAGTGTTAGTAAACAAGTTTGTATTGACACAATGACAAGTTGATGAAAGGAGTTCAGCAAGGACTCCTCTTCAAATCAGCAGTTTGTTTCCTGTTTGCATCAAAAGTTAAATTCTATTTACTAAAGCATTTGGAGTTTACCTGTATGACTTTCTTTGTTATGTTTCAGAAGCTCTGTCCAAGTTTTTGCAGTATATGAGCAGTCTTCTTTCTTGCATGCATAGCCTGTTAGACAAGGCAAACGTTTGCAATCACAAAGGTCCTGGCAAACACAGTCCAGTTTTACAAGGGGGAACTCCACTTTCAGCATTTGAAAATTAAAGGCTGGTATTCCTCCTCTCCTCCCATGCTACACAGTATGGGACAAGAGGCAACGAACACAAATTAGAACATGAGAAAATCCTAACAGATTTAAGGAAGAAAACTTATATCACTGATGCAAGGCGTCCAGAGAAGCTGTGGAATCCCCTCCCCTGGAAACACTGAGAACAACTGGACGCAGCCCTCGGCATCCTGGTCTAACTGACCCCGCCTTGAGCAGGGAGCTGGGCCAGATGACCTCCAGAGGTCCTTTCCAGCCTGAAGGATTTTATGAAACTCTGTCTCTCCTTGCTTCAGTAAAACTACTTCCTCACCAGCCATACACTTTCACTCAAATAGATGAAAATAACTGTAATAATATATATTATTTCTATGTAAATATTTGTACTACACATTAAAAACGTAAGATCTTGACCATACAGTAATATTCCTGAGTCTAAAGAGACTCTACCATTCTATCAAGCAGACGGGATGGTTTTTAAACAAACCACAGGAAGTCAGCACTATTTAAGTCCCAGGACGGGGAAGGTCAAACAACTATGAACAAGTCCTTGTCTTAAGAAAGGAACGCAGTACGAATTGCCGATTTTGAATACTCTTCCTAGTCCCTTGGGTTGTTTTTTTTTTTTCCTAGCACTGGAAAGCGGGTTAGCTGTCAACAGTACTGAAAGAATGGATAGGAGTATAGCAGGATTAGCTCAAACATACATGACCACCAACTTTAAAAATGCAAGCCTACATGGTTTTTCCAAGGCTCCATAGGAAATCTGTGGCAGAACTGGCAACTGATCCTAACCTCTGGAGGTCTAGGCTAGTGCCTGAACCATTAGCCCATCTCCAGAAGGTGGATTATTGACAGGGAAGCACATTAGGAGAAGAAATGACAGAAGGAATCCTGAGCCCTGTTCAGCCTGCCACAGGTACACTGTAACTGAACACTGCAATGCCTTGCAATTGTATCCCGTTTGACTATTCAAAACGGGTGTTCTTGTTTTGTCTCCAGATCACTAGACCCAGAATACTTTCATATCTGTCATACACCCCTGCATACTCTCTGCACTGGAAGAAGTCCTTTTTCCTTTGCTAAAACACAACTGAGGCAAGAAGAAAAATTGTATTACCTTCATGTATCTTCTCGTGCCGCTTTAGTCGACTTGGAGTAGCAAAGTACTTTCCACATCCTTCGTTATTACATCTAGGTATAAAGTACACTGGTTTAATTTCTTTCACTGCATCCGCATATTTTTTCTTCAAGTGAAGAACAATTAAAGTGGACAAAATAATCCAAGTTTCCCCTTGCTTAGAGATCTGTTCTGTGTCCCCCCACCCCTTGTAAAAGTAAATTCCGTAATATGTTTCTCATAGAGGACTCTGATCCCCTCGAGAGTTAAAACTATAGTATGATTTCCACGTATATAGCAGGTTAAGCTTCAGCTAAAAGAATCAAGCCTTATATCCTCCCTACACAGCAGGCTCTTCAAACATAAAAGAGAGAGAGAGAGAGAGAAAGTGGAGGGTTTAAGTGCTTGTACAGATCTAGCAGTCAGAGCAGTAGCAGAGCACTGACAACATTTTTGTGCCTGTCACCCAGCCATACCAGTGCACTTCACTTAAGTGGAACATTCCTGTAAAGTGTGTCCCACCTGTCAGAAATAGAAGACCAAACTTCGCTTTCATCAGATCTATACTGATGTGTCACGTAAATAATGGAGTTGCAACGCGCAGCTTCTCAGACTGGTGTCCAAGCCTCTCACCTTTTTTAAGCTACTACTCACTTCAGTGTTAGCCAAGCCACTGCTTTTTACCGGAAAACAGAGGTAGCTGCATTTTTCATTACCGCGCAAGCTCTTATGCTTGTATTTCGGACTGTGTGAACAAAAAACTGGGTTTTTTTGTTTATTTTTCCTGTGAACCTGTAATAAATCCTAAGAAAATGTCTAGAATGCTAAAGTTACAGAGCACCAAGACTGTTTCTCTAAACAGACTACTGAGCAAAGGACTAGTACAAGAAAGGTACTTGCAGCCACGACTACAAATTCAAGCCAGTTTTTTTTAAATGCCACATCAATGAAAAGGTTGAGAAAAAGGCACTGTTTTCATCCACAGTGTTTAAATGGAATTGTTAAAGTTCATTATTAAAATTATCCACCTACTTGAAGGGAGGTTCATTGGTGTGGTGACATTGATGAACTTTAAGTTGTTGATGTTTCCTGAAAGACTTGTTACAGCCTTCAAAGTCGCACTATTTAGGAAATTAAGTTATCATTAGAAACCAAATAATGACAGCCGAGTCTACATGTGTTTGCTGAAATCCCAGTCACAGTACCTGAACTCATACAAGTACCACATAATAACAAGTTTAAGTATTTCACTAGATGCACAAAAAAGAGCTTATTTAGCCTCCACTTTACAGTATCAAAGGTAATTACTCACCACATATTGCTTTTGCTGATTTTCATGCTTGCGCTCGATGTGCTTCTTTAAATTTGATTTTGTTCCAAATTTCTGATTGCATCCATCAGCTGTGCACCTGCAAACGAACTGCATTTTTTAATATCACTCTCAAACAGCAATTTGTTTCCTAGGCAGATACAGAAATCATTGGACAAAAGGAATACATGAAGAATAACTGAAACTCACAACCCAAATACAAAAATTTGCTTTAGACACAAAAAGCCAGAGGCTACGTTACAATCAAAAGCCACAGGAAAACATATCAGAAGAGATTTTTAATAAAACACATAGGAATTCCTAGCTCCTAATCCATGACATGCATCTATCAAAGCGTGAGTAACAGAAGATAACTGCCCTTCCTTCTTTTAATTCCGTATTCTAGGAGAGATCTGTCCATTCCTTTAAGTATCGGTTATGGATCACTGCCAGATAGGAGGGCTTAGGCTAAGGAGACTCCCCCCCCATCTCACCCTGCGCGCACATTGTTCTGGCAGCACCCACGGTACCAAATCACGCTCGGTACCACCCACGCATCAGTTTTAACCCCCCTTCGGTTCCGTAAGGACAAGCGTAATCCATTTTAAGAGGTGAAAAGCGCGGCCTTACTCGAACGGCTTTTCCCCAGTGTGCGTAAGAAGGTGTCGAGCGCGGTGGAAGTCTCTGGTGAAACCTTTACCGCAGCCTTCGTAATCGCAGACGTACGGCCTCTGCGAGGGAGAGGGAGACCGGGAGAGGGGGTGGCTCAGAGATGACAAACCTCACCTCGGGGGCTCGGCTGTTCCCAGCGGGCCGCCCGCCGCAGGCGGCCCCGGCGGCGG